GCCTAGTGCGCCTTAGAGCGATGTTTTCAATCCTGGGCCATAAAAGCGCGTTATGACCCACCTTCTCCCCGCCCTCCTCCCCAATGGCGTAACGCTCCAGTGCGTCCCCGGCACTGGCGCACTGCGTCCAGCACCGCAGTTTGGCACGGTGGGTGGCGGGGTCGTTACACTAAGCCCCCTCCCCGCCCCTCTCCTCCCTCCCCCATAATGCTTGTTATAGCCGCAAATAAAAACATGCTCTCTCGAGTGCGTGACCGTTGGATTCATCGCGTCGCAGCCCCGCAGGAGGAGGAGGAGGAGGAGGAGGAGGAGGAGGAGGAGGAGGAGGAGGAGGAGGAGGAGGAGGAGGATTAGGAGGAGGAGGAACAAGTGCAGGAGCAGAGTAGACCCATGATGCGTCGACAAGGCTGCGCTACACCTTCCCGTCCAAAGTCCCTTCCTCATCGGTTCCTACTGGCATTCCTGATTTCACGGGGCGGGCCTCTCTATTAGAGCAGGGCGCCGAAGGGGCCTGTTAGTTAGGCGGCAGCACCGTCTTGAAACAGATCCGCGCCCAATGCTTCGAAGCGCAGGATGGGGAAGAACAGGACGAACAATACTTCTAAGTTCTGTAAGCCTAATGGGGCTGGTGGGAATCGGAGGGAAGAGGGATTAAGGAGGACGAAGAGGAGGAGGAGGAGGAATCTGCTGAAGATGATGATGAGGAGGAGATGGCTCAATTCGCTTAGGATGGTGAGCGGAAGAGGCATGGCCAACCCACTCAGGCCTAAATCCTTTGGAGCCTTCCAGGGCTGAGGCGGGATGAGTACTTCTTTGGGGCGTCCCTGGGCGTTCTGAGGGGTTCTGGGGTGATCTAGAGGGTCCTATTGCTCTTCACGCTCTTACCCCTCCCCTACCCGTCATTACCCTCTTCTCCGCGCCCCCCCTCCCGTCCTCCCCTTCTCCTACCCCCTCCCCCCTCCTCCCCCCTCCTCCCCCTCTCTCCCCCTTCCCCTTCTCTGCCCTTCCCGCTGTGTCGCGGAGAGGGCCGAGGGCCCAGCCTGCGCTGTCCACGCAGGCGTGCGCGGAGGGGCTCTGAGACGCGCCGGACGCACGGCCAGCCAAGAGTTGCGGTCACAGAAGCGCTCGTCGTCCTTCCCCCTTTCTCCTCCCCTCCTCCCCTGTTCCCTCCCTTCTGTGGCCAACTTGGGGAACTGTAGGATGTCTTCGAATTGGGTCTTATTTTTGAAGATAGTGGCACTTAGCGGCACGAGCGCTTACGGCCCCGATGGGGCCGGCGGTCTCACTCGCGCGCATCTGGTTTCACGCAGGTCGGCGACCGGCGACCCCGTGCCCTGACTGAAATGCCCGTGGCCCAGATGGGGCTACGAGGCCACCAAGTGCCACTGAATGGTAGTTCTTGGAACCACTAACGGCCACTCAGTGCCACTACATGGTAGATCTCGGGCTATCAAGTGCCGCTAAATGGCATTCTAATTCTCGGAGCCGCTAACGGCCACCAGGCGCCACTAGTTGGTACTTCTCGGAGCCACTAGCGACCACTAAGTGCCACTAGTTGGTACTTCTCGGAGCCAGTAGCGGCCGCTAGGTGCCACTAAATGGTAGTTTTCGGGGAAGGCCACTAAGCGCCACTAAGTGCCACTAAACGGCCGCTACAGGCCGCTAAACGGCCACTAAGTGTCACTAAATGGTAATTCTCGGTTGTCGCGATGGTCAGTCCGAAGTTCCCCAGAGAGCCCACATAACCTCCCCTCCTCCCCCTCCTCCCCGTTCCCCCTCTGTGAGCCCACATGCGCGTGGTTTGCTTGTCCGCAACAGCGTGTGGTCGATTGGCCCCTTGAACGACTTCTTTTGCGGTGGCCGTTTATTTGCGGAAGGTTTGTTACCATCGATGCCCGCGCGCACACATATACATATACACATAGAAATAAACGTAGTTATGTATTCACACATATATATATATACACATCTATGGATCACAAGACAAAGCCCCCTGTCGGCGCTAGCAGCTTCTGCGGGGCTGGTGGAGGCACCAGGCGGGCACCGAACGCTTCTCTTCCCGTTCTCGCCCCCACCCTCGGGTTGACAGTAACTTTTGCAGTTCTGTTGTCTCGCTGTGATCGCCCCAGTCTGCTGCCGTCTGCCGTTCCCGCTTCCTCACTTTCTCCCCTCCCTGCTTCCCCCCTTCCTGGGTGGACGCTGTGTGTGTTCGTATGTGTTTTAACACTACACGAGTGGCTGTCTGGGCCGCAGGGGGCCGTCGTATAGCGCCCTTGCCCCCTTCTCCTCCTCTTCCTCCTCTCTGGCGCGACTTCGGATTGCATCCATTCGAAGGGCATGGGCGCGAAGCTACGTGCCAGGCGGGCAGGCCTGAGTGATATTGATACGGGTGGGTGTTCTCACGTAGAGACGCACCTGCTTGCTTTTCCTCGCAGCTTCCTCCCTGCCTGTCCTCTCACACGCCTGGGGCTTGGCCCAGCACCAAATGCTGATACAGAGTGTTCCAGTCAGTGCTGCCATCAGGTCGTGGTGCTCAGCTTCCGTCTTGCAACCGGTTGAAAGCTGACCTCGTGGGCAGGCCCAGAGCGGCCACGCCCGCCTACCACTACCGAATCCGAGCCGCACCCCTCGTCGACATGCGATGCTAGGACTTGGGCGGTAGCCGAGTCACCGAGGGTTCAAGCTACGTGCGCTCCTCCTCCTCCTCCTCCTCCTCCTCCTCCTCCTCCCTCCTCCTCCTCCTCCTCCTCCTCCTCCTCCTCCTCCCACTCCCCCCCTCCCTCCTCCCTCCTCCCTCCTCCCTCCTCCTCCTTCTCCTCATCCATTCCTTCTCCTTATAGATAGCTCCTCCCTGTCGCACCTCGAGGCCAGCTTTTAGGGCGGGCCTGGCGTTTCGCCTGAGACTTCCTCACCAATTGTGATTCTGAAGCTTAAACATTGGCGACAGTTCCACAGATGGAGGGCGGGCCGCTTTCAACATGTGGCTCTCGCCTCAGCGCCGCGCACACACGCCATAAACATTTGCAAGAGTTTCACAGATGGAGGGCGGGCCGCTTTCAACATGTGGCTCTCGCCTCAGCGCCGCTCACATTCGTTTAACAAGCTTGCAAACGTTTTATATATTGAGGGGTGTGGTTTTCAAAATGTGGCTCTCGCCTTAGCGCCGCGCTTATTCCTTTTTAAAAATTTGCAAAAGTTTCACGGATTGAGGGCGGGTGGTTTTCAAGATGTGCCTCCCGCCCTAGCGCCGCGCACATTCGTTCTCTTGCTGTAAAAATGCAAGAGTTTCGCATTTGAGGGCGGGTGGTTTTCAACATGTGGCTCTCGCCTTAGCGCCGCGCACATTCGTTTTTGTTATTTTGTTGTTTTGTTGGTTTTTGCCGTTATATTATTTTTCAGATTTCAAGAGCTTCACGGATTGAGGGCGGCTTCTTTTCAACATGTGGCTCTCGCCTCAGCGCCGCGCGTATTATTTTTTTTAGAATTTCCAAGAGCTTCACGGATTCCCATGACCAGCGTACCAGAAATGGTGCTTGGAAAAGATTTAGGATTACGCGGGCGCAGCAGTTAAGTTGATTCGCTGTGTTGAAGTCTAAAAACGGCGTTCTGGCACGGTTCCGGGTCGTCAAGACGCAGCAGTCAGGTTGTTACGTGGCGTTGACATCCCGAGAACAATGTTTTGGCACGCCTCAGGATCTTCAAAATGCCGTCTTCCAATGAGGCAGTTCCCTCAATGGAAATGAACCGTTGTAGGGGGCTATGAAGAGGGAGCTTGGAGGGAGGTTAATTCCAACATCGTTGATGACTCTTGAGTTTCCACTGCTGCTCCTCCTCCTCCTCCTCCCTCCTCCCTCCTCCCTCCTCCCTCCTCTCTCCTCCCGCCTCCCTCCCTCCTCCTCCTCCTCCTCCTCCTCCTCCTCCTCCTCCTCCTTTTGCTCCTCCTCCTCCTCCTCCTCTCCTCCTCCTCCCCCTCCTCCTCCCCTCTCCTCCTCCCCCTCCTCCTCCTCTTCCTCCTCCTCCTCCTCGTCCTCGTCCTCCTCCTCCTCCCTCCTCTCCTCCTCCTCCTCCTCCTCCTCCTCCTCTCCTCCTCCCCCCTCATCCTCCCCCTCTCTCTCTCTCCTCCTCCTCCTCCTCCCTCCTCCTCCTCCTCCTCTTCCTCCTCCTCCTCCTCTTCCTCCTCCTCCTCCTCCCCCACAATTACACAACATGAAAATACTCTCCCACTTCCCCTGATGGCGTCCCGACGATATCCGACACCCCCCCGCGTATTGTTTTTTACACACAGGATTTCCGGGAAACGGGTTTTCGCTTGTGTTTTTGTTCAAAATGCTGCTCTCGCCGAGGCGCCGGCCTCATTTTCGGGCCCCGCTCGTTCCGAATCGTGCTCCCGCTGCAGCGCTGGCCTCATTTCCGTGCTTCCGCTCGTTCCGACTCGTGCTCCCGCTGCAGCGCTGGCCTCATTTCCGCGCTTCCGCCCGCTTCGACTCGTGCTCCCGCTGCAGCGCTGGCGTCATTCTGTGCCATGCCACAGCACACGCGCACACACGCACCACCACCACCACCACCACCACCACCACCACCACCACCACCACCACCACCACCACCACCACCACCACCACCACCACCACCACCACCACCACCACACCACGCACACACGCACGCACGCACGCACGCACGCACCACCACCACCCACTAGTCCGCGGATAGAGAAAATCAGCGCCATGGTAAGGGATGGGAGGGAGGGGTAGGACGTCAGATATGACGCGCGCGCACCTAGCTTGTCCTCCCCCCCTCCCCTTCCTCCCCTCCTCCTCCTCCTCCTCTCCTCCTCCTCCTCCTCCTCCTCCTCCTCCTCATCTCTCTCCTCCTCCCGTCCTCCTCCTCCTCCTTCTCCTCTCCTCCTCCTCTTCCTCCCCCTCCTCCTCCTCCTCCTCCTCCTCCTCCTCCTCCTCCTCGTCCTCGTCCTCCTCCTCCTTCTCCTCCTCCTCCTCCTCCTCCCGAAGCTCCGGCAGCCCGCGGGACCTGCGGCGGGCCCCCGCCCCGCGTGGGGATGGCGCCTCCGGCGGCCGGCGGCGCCGTGCGTCTCCCAACGGCGGGCCCGGGGGGGAGGGGGGGCTGCTGTGAGCCCAGGGGAGGGGGAGGAGGAGGAGGAGGAGGAGGAGGAGGAGGAGGAGGAGGAGGAGGAGGAGGAGGAGGAGGAGGAGGAGGAGGAGGAGATGCCGATGAAGGCTGACGCCGCTCGGCCAGTCCCCTTCCCAGAGGGGGACTGTTAGGGAAAGCAGGCGCACCTCCACCCCCACATGGACCCCCCCTCCCCCTCCAGGGCTGGGCCAAAGAGCTTCGGCTCCCGACTGGGAGGATGTGCTTCAAAGAGGACAACGCCCACCTGGCCCCTCTCCCCCTCTGGGGAGGGGAGCCAGGTGGGGGTTGGGGGTGCTCTTTTGCTCCCCTAGGCTGGGGTAGGGGTCGCCATCGCCTGGCGACCCAGTGTTCAAACGGAGCTGTCGGGAACAGCCCAAGAAAAGTTTTCTCATACGTGACACGGTCAAACTCTAATCGGGTGGAAGTGTGGAATGTGCATTTTGAAGCAAGCCCCGAGCATTGTACATGCCCAGGCGCAGTTCACATTATCCGTCAGTGTTTGATTCCGTGGTGAAAGGATGTTTGAAAAGAACATGATGAAGCTGTGCAAACATGATGCAATGAGGCAAGCAAACCACGTAAGATAGGCTACTGTACTCCGCAACCTTGTTGCTACGGATTCTGCGCGACCCTGCGCATGGCAACGGACAGGCAGTCTTCACCCACATTATGCGTACAAATAGGTTCTTCCTCAAAGCGCAGCGTTCTTCGGGACGCGTGAAGCGTCCCCTATCTCCGATCGGAGCACTGCTGCTGACCTGTTTCGCAGATGCTCTCTCCCATGCACATGCAATCGCATGCCAATCCAGAGACCACTGCACGTGCGAACCCCTTCCTTGAGTCACATGGTCGCATGATGAATCAAGTTTCGGCCGTCCCTCGCCAAGGGTTCGCCAGGACGCTTATCTCTTTCACAGCGCGACTCGTCGCTTCCCTCGCCTCCCCATTGCAGTTGAGCGATTCGACATGCCCCCCCCCGCTTCCGATGGCTACGCACATGCAGTCGCGTGGCAATCCAGATCTGCCCCTGCAGGCACGAAGTCATTCCCTGGGTCGTGTGGCCGCATCCAATCCAGCTTTCGTCTTGCGTCTGATTGGGTGCCCGTTTGATCAGGACCGATCGCCCGGCGGCTGGAGTCGATCGGATCGGCCGCGTCGACTCGTCCGCTCAGGCTTTTTGAGCGCCCCCCCACCCCACCACGCGCGGTGCACCCCTGTCTAGGGTAGTTGGGCAGGTCGACGTCGCGGGAGGGGGCGAATTCGGCGGGGACCATCGATGGAGAGCTAGATTCAGGCCAGCTGATCTGATCTGATCGACCTACCCTCCAGGACGCCCGTCGACACGCGTGCGATCTCAACGCAATAGCCCTCCTCTACTTCAGCTGGCTCTCCGTCGTTGGCTGAGGGACCCACTGGGCCATGCATGCACATTTGTGGTTTGGGCCCTTATGAGTCCTACAGCCCCTTTTGCTCCGACATGTGTATATGAATGAGCGTCAGTGCACCCCGCCACTTGCTGAAGGCACGGAGGTGGATATCCTCTCCCTCTCCCAGTCCCCTACCTCCCCTCCCCCTCCCTCTCCCCCTTCCGTTCCTCCCCCCTTCTCCTGGGACCAGATTGTAGCCGAGTGCCCCTTGTCTCTTTCTCTTCTTGCGCCTTCTGCTCCTCCTTCTCTTCCTCCGCCTCTACCTCGTGCCTTTCCCGCCCGCGAGGGCAGCTCACCACCGCAGCAGCCCCACGTCGACAGCTTCGACGAGGCCGTGACCACAATCCTCGACGTCCTCGGCTCGAGCGCCGCCGAGGCAGAGGGAGAGCCAAGCCAAGCTGGATCCACCGCCACCGTCCACGCCGAAGCCAAAGCTCATGTCCGACCACCATTCCATCGCCGAAGCAAGTCCATCACACATATCGCCCCGCCCCGCCTGCAAGAGCAGCAAATCATCTTTGGGGGGCTTCTCCTACAGGGGGACTTGACCTCGCTGGAGGAAAGGGAGAGGAACAAGGGTGACAAGGAGTAGTGCCCCCCCCCCCCCGAACGGCGTCGGAGCTGCACGCCAAGTCTGCTGGCACCGGGGAGGCGCGCGTGAGGGCAGGCTGGCTGTTCGAAATGGCCTCGGCCCTGGGGCCGTGAGGCCCTCGCAAGCTCGCGCCCCCCTCGTCGACAAGACGTCTCGAATTTAGCTTCACAGGGTACGCATTTCCTACATGCGTCTCTCCCTCGTCGGCTTTCGGGGGCGTGCTTGGCGTGGCCATCCTCGGAGGCACCGTGTGTCGAGAAGGCCGGCGTGGCGGCGGAGCTCAGGGTGCGCCGCTGCCTGGAGCGCCTCATCCGCAGCAGCGAGAAGGAGCTGCAGGACCGCCAGGCCCTGGATGAGGAGGTGGAGGGGCGAGGGTCGAACGAAAGGGGGGGATCCTCCTCCTCCTCCTCCTCCTCTTCCTCCTCCCCATCCTCCTCCTCCTCCTCCTCCTCCTCCTCCTCCTCCTCCTCCTCCTCATCCTCCTCCTCCTCCTCCTCCTAGGGACAGGTGGGGTTACGAAATCTGCTGCATGCAGCCTGTTTCGGCCCCACCGCCGGGCCCATTCCTCGATACATGGCCGCCTCCGGCGCCGGGGGGCGCCAGGAAGATCAGCTACGTGAGCTGATTCTTACCCCCCCCTTTGCTATCCTTCCCTTTCGCCAGACCCGAGAGGGGCGAGGGTCTCCTTTTCCCCCTCCATGCAGGCCTCGGAACAAAAATAGCGAACTCGCATGCCACATTCATCGGTCAACGCCGCCCCCTCCCCCCAGTGTTCACAAGGTTGGCGGCGGTGGGTCTGATGAGTGGCACTTTTCGGCCGCAGTCTCCCCCGCGCGCGCGCCAGCTTCGAGGTTGGGGGAGCGGGGGAGTGTCCATGAATCTAGGGAAACAAAAGTAGCATAAACTTAAACACTCTGAGGTCCGCGCGGACCTCAGAGTTTTCATGTTTATATTACTTCTTGTTCCCCTATAACTATTTCCCCCTACCGTGTCACCCTCATCCTCGTTCCCTTCCCCCTCCATGTCCTCCATCCTGTTCCCTTGCGTGAGCGCGGGTCCTCGCCGTGCCACCAAGAGCGTGCGGGCACCGCGGCCGGGGCGATCCGCCAGAGACTTCACACACACACAAATATTGTGCAACTGGTATGGTCCAGAAGCTCGAGTTCCCAGCAGCTAAACGCACGGAGAGCGTTTCGTTTCCAATGTCTGGCCCTCGTTTTCGCGGCACACGTGGTCGTCCTAACTTCTTCCAGCAGCTGCGCGGATAGAAGAAGAAGAATAAGGTTCCTTTCAAAGGTGGCTCTCACCTAAAAGCCGCGTGCATTCGCAGTGACAGGGATTTAAGGCGGCACAGTTTCAGCATCTAGTGTCCGCCCTCGCGTCCTTGCTCATCAATTTGGGCTTCCAACTGGTACAGGGAATGACGGTGGTACCTCTTCAAGAGCGAGCCTTCGCCTTGGACCACCCCAACGTGTATAGTTTGAGTTCACGTTTTTAGCAGTTACGCAAGTGTAAGACTGCCCATTCTTCAAAATCTGGCTCTCATCCCAGACATCCTTACATGTTGGGATGCCAGTGCTTGAAAGTTTTGGCGCTTCGCGTATCACGACCGGTCAATCAAGACGTTATCCCCAGTTTAGTGCGGTAGACCAGGGAAGGGTACGAGCGTACAGCGGAACAAAAGAGGTGGGGAATCACAAACCGATGCTCGGGATCATCCCAAGCAGGAGTACATTCACGGCTCTTTCGATCGTGGAGCCTCAGCGAGGCTTCTTCGGGCCGTATTGTTGCGGTTTTGGGGCATTCTTGGAGGCCTTTGGGGCTCTCTTGGAGCCCTCTTGGGTGCCATGGTGGAGGACATCGGTCTGCAAAGGGGGCGGCAATTATCAGGGCCACCCCCAGGGCGCTCGACAAACCACCCATTGGGGCCCTGTTTGGGCGTTCTCTGCGCTCTTTCGGGGGTGACCTTGGTGCGCCTTTTACCTCTATTCCTCCCTCGCCCTCTTCTCCCTTCGTTACCCTCCCCTCCTTCTCCTCGCCCCTTGACCCGTCTGGCTGGAGTGGCCATGCTCGTCGGCGCCTCAGAGGGACGGAGAGATAGAGAGAGGGAGAGCATCACAATGAGGGAGTTCGGGAGTGAGAGAGATATGGAGGGCACGTATAAGAGCCGCGAGAGGCCCGGGAGCTTTGCCAGCTGCAGGGGCGCCTGGACCGTGCGGCGAGCTCGTGGCGGCTGAGGTCCTACATGGCATGGCTGGTGTCGTCGTTGTGGTCGACGGAAGCCGAGGAGTGGGATAAGGCTGATGATAATGATGATGATGGGGATGATGATGATGATGATGATGATGATGATGATGATGATGATGATGATGATGATGGTGGTGATGGTGATGATGATGATGCTGATGATGATGCTGATGCTGATGCTGATGCTGATGCTGATGCTGATGATGGTGATGATGATGATGATGATGATGATGATGATGATGATGATGATGATGATGATGATGATGATGATGATGATGATGCCGATGATGCTGACGCTGATGCTGATATTGAAGATTCGAAAAAGCGCGTTCAGTGGTAGCTTGGACGGGGGGGGTGGAACCGGAACCCCCCCCTCCCCCCTCTCGTGACGGAGGTGGGGGGGTTCGAACCCCCCCCCCCTCCTGCTTCCCCTCTCCTCGGGCCGGCGCTGCACTTGGGTCGGCGGCGGCTGGCGACGGCGGCGGGGACGACGATTTCCATTTCTTGGCCGGCGCCGGCGCCTGCGGCGGCAGGCGGCGGTGGCGGGGAGCGTCGACGAGGACGACGGTGGTGGTGGTGGTGGTGGTGGTGGTTGTGGTGGTGGTGGTGGCGGTGGTGGCGGTGGTGGTGGTGGTGTGGTGGTTTGTTGTGGTGGTGGTGGTGGTGGTGGTGGTTTGGTGGTGGTGTGGTGGTGGTTTGTGGTGGTGGTGGTGGTGGGTTGTGGTGGTGGTGGTGGATTGGTGGTAGTGTGGTGGTGGTTTGTGGTGGTTGTGGTGGGTTGTGGTTGTGGCGGTGGTTTGTGGAGGTGGTGCTTGTGGTGGTGGTGGTGGTAATGGTGGTGGTGGTGGTGGTGTGGTGGTTTGTGGTGGTGGTGGTGGGTTGTGCTGCTGGTAGTGGTGGTGGTTGTGGCAGTGGTGGTGGTGGTGGTGTGGTAGATCGTGGTGGTGGTGGTAGTGGTGGTGGGTTTCTGTGGTGGTGGTGGTGATGGTGAGTTTTGGTGGTGGTGGTGGTTGCGGTGGTGTGGTGGTGGTTCGTGGTGGTGGTGGTGGTGGGTTTCGGTGGTGGCGGTGGTTTGTGGACGTTTGTTGTGGTGGTGGTGGCGGTGGTGGTTGTGGAGGTAGTGTGGTGGTTTGTGGTGGTGGCGGTGGGTTGTGCTGCTGGTAGTGGTGGTGGTTGTGGCGGTGGTGGTGGTGGTGTGGTAGATTGTGGTGGTGGTGGTGGTAGTGGTGGGGGGTTTTGTGGTGGTGGTGGTGGTGATGATGAGTTGTGGTGGTGGTGGTGGTGGCTGTGGTGGTGGTGGTGGTGGTTGTGTGGTGCTGTTGGTGGTGGTGATAGGTTGAGGCGGTGGTGGTGGTGGTAGTGGTGTTGGTGGTGGTAGTGGTGGTAATCGTCGCTGCGTCCCCGCCGTCGCCGGCGCCAGCGCCGGCGGGGGGAGGGGTTTGAACGCGCCCCCCTCCCTCCCCTTTGGAGGGGGGGGGGGCGGTTTTGAACCCCCCTCCCCCCTCCCCCTGGCTGCCTCTGGTCATCGTCGCTGCGTCCCCGCCGTGGGCGCTGCTGGCGGCCGCCAGCGCTGGCGGTCGCCAGCGCTGGCGCCGGCCGCCGAGGGGGGGGGGGGGGTCGGGTCGGGGGGGGGGTTTGGGGGGGAGGGGAGCCCCCCTGGTTTTGATCGACGGCGCCGAGTGTTGGGGGGGGGGGCCACCCCTCGGCTTGAAACGCGCCGCCGAATGTTCCCAAGGCAAACGCCCTTGAAACGCGTTCTCTCATGAGATGATGATGATGCTGATGATAATGAGGATGAGGATGCTGATTCTGATGCGGAAAATGATATGGATGATGCTGCTGCTGCTGCTGATGATGATGTTCACTCTGATGCTGATGCTGCAGGTGCTGCTGATACTGCTGATGATGCTGCTGATGATGATGGTGCTGGTGATCATGGCGATGATGATGATGCGGATGATGATGATGAGGATGATGATGATGATGATGATGATGATGATGATGATGCTGATGACGATGATGATGAGGAGGATGAGGAGGACGAGGAAGATGAGGAGGAGCAGGAGGAGGAGAAGGAGGAGGAATAGGAGGAGGAGGAGGATTGGGAGGATGAGGAGGATGGAATGCACTAAGAGGGGAGAGGAAGGGGTCAGAGGGAGGGCTTTTCGCTTTTGCAGTGGCAGTAGGTTTCCCGACGCAACGTGTTCTCTTCGCAGAATGGGGGGCTGTAGATCTCCCTTGTTAGTGGTGCCTGCAGGCGCCTAGCACCAATTTTGCGCCGTTGCTTGCTATCCGAGGCGTTGCTCATGTGTGCAGCGACCTTGATTCACGCAATTGTTTACAGGCTGGCCTATGAAACGTATTACGATTCATAAGTGTCATGGCCAATGCCGTACACAGTTGCACAGTTGTCATGGTCCGTCGTCGCGAAGCACAGTTTTTGTATGGTGGATTTGGCTATTTGGATCGTTCAGGAAGACGATGAGGAGGATGATAGGGGACGATGAGGAGGAGGGGCAGTGCCCTTTACCCTTTACTAGGGCTTCCCCCTATCTCCCCATCCCCCTCCTCTTCCCTCCGCCTCCTCCCCCCCCCTTGTCCCTGTACTCCGCGTTCTCGGCGTCGCTGGCGTTCCTTACCTCCCCCCCGTTCCTCATCCAGCCTCCCCCCCGTTCCTCTGCGGGGGGGCTTCAGGTCCGCTGGGGCAACCGCCAGCGGACCGGGGAAAGGTCAGCGGGCAGCAGCGAACGGACGGGAGGGGTTGCGTTTCAGGTATTGCGCGAGCGCGCCCACCTTGCCCTCGAGCCCCTCTCCTTCCTCCTTCCTCCCCCTCCTCCTCCCCCTCCTCTTTCCCCTCCTCCTCCTCCTTCTCCTCCTCTTCCCCCTCCTCCTCCTCTCCTCCGTCTCCTCCTCCTCCTCCTCCTCCTCCTCCTCCTCCTCCTCCTCCTCCTCCTCCTCCTCCTCCTTCCTCCTCCTCCTCCTCCTCCGCCTCCTCCCCTCCTCCTCCCCCCCTCCTCCTCCCCCCCTTCTCCGTCTCCTCCTCCTCCTCCCCCTCCCCCTCCTCCCCCTCCTCCTCCCCCTCCTCCTTCCCCTCCTCCCTCCCCTTCGTGCGTGCCCCTCCTCCTCGCTTAGCGGCGGAGGTCCGCCATGGCGCGGCGGGCGCTGGCCGAGGAGGTCAGGCAGAGGGAGGGCGCCCAGCAGGCGCTGGCCGAGGCCCCTTCCCAGGGTACAGAAGAGAGGAAGAGGGGGAATAGAGGAGGACGAGGAAGACCAGGGAAGACGAGGAAGGAGGAGGAGGAGGAGGACGAAGTGGAGGAGGAGGAGGAGGAGGAGGAGGAGGAGGAGGAGGAAGAGGAGGAGGAGGAGGAGGAGGAGGAGGAGGAGGAGGAGGAGGAGAGGAAGCATAAGAAGAATATAGGAAGAAGAAGAGGAGGAGGAGGAGGAGGAGGAGGAGGAGGAGGAAGAGGAGGAGGAGGAGGAGGAGGAGGAGGAGGAGGGGCCCGCAGCTCTCGCCCCCTTCCCGGGGGTCGTCGTCGCCTTCGCCGTCGCGTCGTTGCGGCCCCTGCTGCTGCCGCTGCTGCTCGCGCTGGTGCTGCTGCTGCTGCCTCTGAATGGTGCTGCTCTTTCCGCTCCGGCTCCTCCTGCCCCCTCTTCCTCGCCTTCGAGGCCCGGCGGGCGGGGTCGAGTCTCACAGAACAGCTCGGACGCCCCGAGCTCCCTCAAGCGCTCCCGGCAGCCTTCAAAGCCACGCGGCTAGCGCAGGAAGCACCCAGACACAAAGACGCAGACGTGATCGTTTTCTCATTCCTTGTTTTTGCCGATCGGCGCGGGCCCTCGCACCCCCGCCTCCCCCCACCCCCCAATGGAGTCGACCTTGGCTGTTTGGGGCGCCTGCTTCGAGCAGGTGGAGTCTCCCCCACAGGATGCACTGCTGCAAGCAGTCGCGCTGAACAGAGGTCCAGAGCCAGACCCCCCCCTCCCTCCGTCCCTCCCTCCCTCCCTCCGTCCCTCCCTCCCTCCCTCCCTTCCCTCCCCCCCCTTCCCTCCCCCCCCCCGCTACCGCCCAATGCCGAAACGCCGAGTAAGAAGACGCTCACACGCTGCCTCCGCGTCCCTCCCTCCCGCAGCGCAGGGCGTACCGTGGGGGCCCATGCCCAGAGACACCAGGCTTGCCTCCAGGGTGCTCATGGGCTTCTTGGGTTACGATGGTTTTGCCAAGGAATCGGAGTCCCCCCAACATACTTATACTATGTGTTCGTCGCCCCCCCCAGGGGCGACGCGAGCACCGAGAAATCTTGCAGTATATGCGTCGTGGCGGGCGCTTTCTGGCCACACCGCTCGAGAAACGATATACTACAAGATGGGTATACTATGTGTTTGGGTCGGACGCGCGCCTCCAAGGCGGACATATAGTATTAGTATGTCTCTGTGCGTCCCATGGAAAGCGTGATGCTCCCACACCAGAAATCGATGGACGTCCTGGGCGCCTCAGGGCCCCTGCTGCACGCTGGGCTGTGGATGCCGCCCCCGAGGCGCTGGCCGAGGCGCGGGCCCAGCGGGCTGCCGCCGAGGAGCAGCTGGCCGCTTGCCAGGCCCCGAGGGCCTCGGGGCTAGGAGCAGGAGCGGGAGGAGGATGGGCAGGAGGAGGAGGAGCACGGGCAGGATGATGATGCTGATGATGACGATGATGATGCTGATGATGATGATGATGATGATTATGATGATGATGAGGAGGATGCGGATGAGGATGATGATGATGATGATGATGCTGATGATGATGATGATGATGATGCTGATGCTGCTGCTGATGATGATGATGATGATGCTGATGATGCTGATAATGATGATGGTGCTGATGGTGCTGATGATGATAATGATGAGGATGAGGATGAGGATGAGGATGAGGATGATAATGCTGATGATGATGCTGCTGCTGATGCTGATGATGGTGCTGATGATGCTGTTGCGGATAATGGTGATGCTGATGATAATGGTGATGATGCTGCTGCTGATGCTGCTGATGATGCTGATGATGATGATGCTGATGATGCTGATGATGATGCTGATGCTGATGCTGCTGCTGACGATGATGAGTCTGATGATGGTGCTGATGATGCTGCTGCTGCTGATGGTGGTGATGATGATGATGATGATGATGATGATGATGATGCTGATGATGATGATACTGATGATTATGATGATGCCGATGATGAGGGGGACGAGGAGGAGGAGCAGGAGGAGGAGGAGGAGGAGGAGGAGCAGGAGGACGAGGATGGGGAGATACCAAGGTAACGCCAGGCACTGCGGCTTCTACCGCCTGGTGGGCGCATACTCTAAGGCCCTCTGCTTGTCTGATCTTGCTGCACGACTTTGTGCGCTGCGCCCGCCAGGCTAATTTGTTTTTCGCTCCGCTACGTCGGCGGTTTTTTCTGCACTAGAACGCCCCAAGCTTCCGCTTCACGTCTGGACAGTGTCGAATAAAGGAGGATGGGGATGATGATGAGGAGCAGGATGACCCGTACCGCTACCCTTCCCTCGTTTTTGGGCCTCCTGGGGGGACCCTCGTCGCCACCGCTTTGGTTCGTCTTGACATCCTGGTCAGAACGCATCCCAGGAGAGGTCCGGGGAGTAGCGGTATTGGTACCTTTTGGCTTCCCCAGAGGATGGGGGTGATGACCGTTATATTGATGGCATGATGATGACGGCGGCACGCGCGGTTGGGTTAACGATGATTGTTATGAGGACTGTGATGGTCAAGATGACGACGATGACCCAGGTGATGATGATGACTATGATGCTTATGGTACTGATGGTGATGGTGGTAATGCTGACGAGTGTGATTCCGATGATTATGCACATGTTGATGATAGCGGCTGAACAAGTTACGCTATTGGCGATGACAGTGGCGGTGGCAATGCTGATGATGCCAATGACGATGATGACGCCACCGATGAGGATGTACACGTTGATACGAGGGTGACGATTTTGATGCTAATGATGATCACGATGACGAGAAGGAGGAGGATAAATAGGATGAGCAAATGGGTGAACGACCGCGATGACACAATGACACGTTGGACATGCACCATTGCGATGGTGATGGTAATGGTGATTGTGGTGATGCTGATGTTGCTGATGATGAAGATCATGATGCTGATGGTGAGTGCGCTAATGACGATGCGGATGCTGATGCTGATGCTGATGCTGATGCTGATGCTGATGCTCATGACGAGGGTGAAACTGACTAGGAAGACGAGACTGCGGACGAGGATGAGGGAGGCGGATGAGATGGAGGGATAATGACTTGGAGGAGTTGAGGGATGAGGGAGATGATGATGACGAGGAGGAAGTGGAAGAGGTCTAGGAGGACGCGATAAGGATCAGGAAGGTCACGACAAGTAGAAGACACATGAGGACGATGACGCGGAGCATGTCGAGGAGGAGTAGGGTGAGGACGAAGAGGGTTACGAGGGGGAGGGAGGAGGACGAGGATGACATCGGGAAGACAAGGAGGAGGAAGGGGAGGCAGCATGAAGACAAGTTCCCACTCGCCTTCTCACACGTGTCGAGACATTGGTTAGATCTCGAAAACGCGGGGGGCTCGTTGGAGGAGGGGGAGCAGTAGCACAGCCGCCCGCAGACACAGGAGGGGGAGGACGAGGAGAGGGATGTTACCCTTCTCCGTATCAAGGAGGATCTCTTATTACGGAAGACTTCTTGCTGCCAGGCCCGGGCGGAAAGGCTGGAAGGCGAGCTGCGCTGCCGGCAGCGGCGACCTGCCCCAGATGGCTCTGAGGCCATTGAGCCTCTCTGGGGTCGCCGTCGTCGCGAACGTGGTCGTGGTCGTGGTCGTGGTCGTCGCGGTCGTCGTTGTTGCCGTCGTTATAGTCATGGTCGTCGTCTTCGCCGTGGTCGGGTTTCGTCGTCTTCGTCGTCATCCTTCCGCTGCTGTCCATCTCGCAAACAGCATGTAAGCAGCACAGCAACATCCTGCGAAGGCACTTGGTCACGCTCGCAGGGCAGCCCTTTACTTTCGAGCGGTGCTTACGGTTCGCAGCCTCGTAGCCCCGATTTCGGCCAAGTTGCTGGGACAGCACGTTACCATTCTCACGTGTGTTCATACTGAAACCTTATGTATCATGGTCCCGCTGCATAATGGTAATCATATGTCCGACCGCTGCTACCATCGACCTCCGCTGCCCTCCTGGACAGAGGGGTAAGGAAGCAGAAGCGTGGGAGGGCTGGGGATCATGATGATGCTGCTGCTGATTATGATGCTGAGGATGATGATTCGGATGATGATGATGACGTTGCTGATGATGCTGATGCTGACGATGCTTATGATGATAATGGTGATGCTGCTGCTGATGCTGATGATGATGCTGATGTGGATGATGATGAGGCTGATGATTGTGATTATGATGATGCTGTTGATGATGATGCTGATGATGGTGACGGTGATGCAGATGTTGTTGATGATTCTGATGATGCTGTTGATGATAACGCCGGTAGTGATGCTGCTGATGATGATGTTGATGATGCTGCAGATGCTGATGCTGCTGCTGCTGCTGATGATGATGATGATGCTGATGTTGATGATGACGATGCTGCTGATTGACCATGAACAGGAGGAGGAGGCGCATGGCGCAGGATGTTCTCTCTCCTTACCCGTTTGGTTTTCAGTCCAGCCCCCTGTCGTTTGACTGGGGTGGGAGGGTGCGCACGAGATCGCCAGGGCTTGACCAGAACCGTCCACAGCGTCAGCGTCAGCAGGAGGACGAGGAACAGGAAGAGGCGGAGGAGGCGGAGGCGGATGAGAAGGAGGGGGAGGAGGGGCAGACATGTGAGGACGTATGGTGATGATGATGCTGATTATGATGATGCTGCTGATGATGCTGATGAAGATGATGAGGAGGATGATGATAAGGATGATGATGAGGATGAGGACGAGGAGGAGGATGAGGAGGATGAGGATGAGGAGGAGGAAGAGACGTAGGAGGAGGAGGATGGTGAGATGTTGGTGGAACAGATGCAGAGGGGAAGGTGGTGGAGGAGAAGGAGGAGGACGAGTATCATAGTGGAGAGCGTTAGTATCAGAAGGAGGAGGAGGAGGAGTTGACGGGGAGGAGGGGGGGGGAAAAGGATCAGGCTCCGCTGGTTTGACGGGAAGCGGGGCGAGCCAACGCCGCATTCGGATGATGGGGGGGGAGGCGGGAAGACGAGGCTGGCGTGAAGTTAGCAGCTGGCCAGCTCTACCGAGCCAGCGGGCCCCCCCTCCCCACCCGCTCTCCACGCAGCGTGCGGAGGATGGTGCCGATCATGACGGCTGTGGTGACGACGAGGGTTTCTCTCACGATAAGGGCAGCCATGAGTGGTGACGATTGTTGATGATCTGGACGGTGGGTTCTTTCGAGGACTGCGATGATGATGACGATGACGATGATGCTGCTGCTGATGATGACGACGATGCTGATGATGTTGTTGATGATGGTGATGAGGAGGATGATGCTGATGCTAATATTGATGATGCTGATGGTGATGCTAATGATGATGATGATGATGATGATGATGATGATGATGATGATGATGATGATGATCATGCTGTTGCTGTTGCTGTTGTTGCTGATGGGGAGGATGATGATGACGATGGTGATGACGACGATGCTGATAATGCTGATGATGTTGATGATGATGATGATGGTGATGATGATAAGGATGATGATGTTGTTGATGATGATGATACTGATGAATGATGATGATGGTGATGATGATGATGATGATGATGATGATGATGATGATGATGATGATGATGATCATGATGATGATGATGATGATGATGATGATGATGATGATGATGATGATGATGATGATGATGATGATGATGATGATGTTGGTTACGATGATGACGATGATGATGCTGCTGCTGCTGCTGCTGATGATGATGATGATGATGATGATGATGGTGATGATGAGGAGGAGGAGGATGAGAGGACGAGGAGGAGGAGGAAGAGGAAGAGGAGGAGGTCCCCCCTGGGTCTCGAGGAACGCGAGCAGTGGCTGGCCAGCTGGGAGGCCGACCTTTGCGCCCGCGAGGCGGTGTTGCTGCTACGTCCCGCGGTGGCCATGGGAATCTGTAGCGTAAATGCAAGCGGCCTTCTCCTTTTGGCAGGGACTGGTCCCTTCTCCTCGTCGTCCTCCTCCTCCTTCTCCTCCTCCTCCTCATCCTTATCCTCATCCTCATCCTCATCCTCATCCTCATCCTCATCCTCATCCTCATCCTCATCAGGAAGCAGTTGGTACTGAACGGCATTTGACACAGTAATGTTGGCCACACTGTGGATCCACAGACCCCCCTCCCCCTAAGTTCCCTTTTGGGGGGGATCGGTTTTGTAATCTGGTGGCCTTAGACCAAGTTGACCGGCTGCCGCTGCGACGGAGGCCCTCGCCATGATCAGGATGTTGACTTGAAGGCTGGTGGTGGCGGACGGGGGGTGAGTGGCGAGCGCCGCAGTCCTGGCGAGCGCCGCCGTGGCGCCGGATTCCTTGCCTTTGCCCGAGCCTGACGACCGAACGGTACCCTCGCTTCCTCTCGCTGACCAGGCATCTCAAGATCCCGGTGACATGGTTGCTGCCTTGTCTCATCATGGGGCTCGTGCTTTCCCAGCCGGACCTGCTCCTGCCGATGACATTTCCTCTTATCTCGCTTTGCACCTCCCTCGCTATGAACGGCCTCTGCCACCTCTCCCGTCGCAGGCTGACCTGCAGCGTGCTCTCCGCCTCGGCAAGGCAAGTGTACCTGGCCCTGACCGCCTCCTGTATCGCGCTTGGCTGACGAACGAGGGTGCTATTAAAGCTTTGTTTCCGATTGGGCTGGACATCATCAGCGGCCGGGGATCGCCGCCAGCAGCTGGAGATCGCGAGGCAGCGAAGGTCAACCTGCAGGGGCTTCTAGGCAGCTGAGAGCACCGCATCGACCACAGACTTACCATGTGGGACCTGTCGGGAATCGGCACAGGCACCGCGATGTTCTGATCGGCGACTTCTGACGTCTGGGCAAGCTCGTTGCCTCACGTGTCGCCGCAGCGATGTGTGGGCAGGTTTGGAACAGGTGGTGCACCGCAGGGCGCTTTGGATCGGAGGCTCCCTGCGTGCCCATGTGCGGGCCGGCTCAGGACAGCGTTCAGCACTGCATGGTTGCCGCGCCGGCAGGGCGGTGGGGGGGGGGGGGGGGGGGGTGGGGAGGGGGGGGGGGGGGGAGGGGGGGGGGGGGGGGGGGGGGGGGGGGGGGGGGGGGGGGGGGGGGGGCCGGGGGGGGGGGGGGGGGGGGGGGGGGGGGGGGGGGGGGGCGGTGGGCGCACGGATGCTCCGCGTGAGCGGCGACCACGGCCATCGCAAAAAATGCTAGCTGGGCGTGGCCAAGTACGCCGGCGACAAGGGACAGATTTGCTGGGCGATCCTCGTGTACGGCCTGTGCATGGCCACCAACGGCTGGAGCTACAACGCGCCACCGGACCGCTCGGTGGAAGTTGCCGCCCAGATGGTGATGCAACATTGCCGGCAAGCTGCCCACGGCCACCGTCGGACGAAGAAGTGTCAGAGTCAGTCGTGGACGTCCCGCGGAGGGGACGGCTGCGTAGCTAGAGCCACAACCTTCCTCCATACCTTTTCCTCCCCTCCTCTTCCTCCTCCACCTCCTTCTCCATCTGCGCGCCGTACTTCGTGACATTTTCGTTGCGTGTCGCCGCCTTGGCGGGCTGCCTGTTCGTTTTTGGGTGTACCTCGATCTGAGACTCGTCCCCGGCGAAGCTTACTCTTGCTTGCTCTCGACCGAAAACCAAACGACACCACCCCACCTACGGCCCTCCATGCTGCGCTACGGCCCATCGGGCGCCTTAGCGTATACCACGCAAACGCCCACGCCAGATTTCCTGGTATGCGCTAAGGCCCCTGGTGCCGTAGGTGGGGTGGTGTCGTTTGTTTTCTGGCCCACGTTTGGCCTGTCTGTTCCGCTAGCCATAATTTTGGCCACGCTCGCCGGGCAACTCTGCGGGGGGCTTGCTCTGTCGACGGCGCGTTTGGCGAGGCTAGTGGCGCGAATCATTTCTGTCCGCTCCCATCTTCGCCCTCCCCCCAACAAAAACTTGTTGAGGGCTTCCACACCGAATGACGTACACATTGCTGAAAGACGCTGCAACCCATCCCAAAGAGGGTTTCTCCGCGATCGCCAGTTCACTTCGCGCATTGTATGATTTCACGCGGCTGCCAGAGGGGCGGGAGGACACGATGATGCCGCTGAACACATGCCCTGTTTCTTCTCGTACGACGTGCAGGCCGCATTCCCGTCTATGGAGTGGCAGTGGGCCGCAGCCGTCTTACTCCACCACTCTTCTTTGCCAGCTGGCTACGCATGCGCGACCTGAGCTTTGAATCGCGATCTGCAGCTCAGCGCTTGGTTTTGTGACGAACTTGGTACTTTTTCCCAGTTCCCGCTGGAGTTGCTCAGGGGTGCCCGCTGTCTGGAACTTTGTGGGCATTGTGCCTCAACGCCTTCCTGTTTCACATCGCCGAGGGCATCGACGCTAGCGAGCCGCCGTGCGATCATCTGGATGCCGGGGCGTGCGCCGACGAAGTTGTACTACCTCGTCTGAGCCAGGCTGCCCGGCTTGAGCCAATGTTTCGGGCTGCGCGCCGCCTTGAGCGCCACTGCTTGCGGACAACAAATGCGTGGTGGTCCACATGTAGACCGCAAGCTGTGACGCCGTCGCCTCTGCTATCTCCGCTCTCCTTTGGGTCTTCCCTCCCCTCTTCTGATCCTTCTCCATTGCTGGCACCGCAAGTATCTCGGCATATCGTTTGGTCCAGCGGCGACCTGCGAGGCCAAGGGGGGAGCATCAACATCAAAGCTGTCCTTCCGGACCCGCCTTGTGGCAGCAACTCGGTCGCCGTCGGAGGCCCCCGCGCGTCCAATTCCTCGATTGTCTCCGTCCTCTCCCTGCCTCCATCAGTCTTCTTTCTCCCCTGCCTCCCCCCCTCTCTCAAAGAGCCCCGGTTTGCTCACAAACTGCTTCGGTTGCCCCCGAATGCGCTCAAACGATCCGAGGTGCTGTCTTTGAGTGCCTGGACCCCTGGTCCCAGCCCAGCGTCGATGGCCGTTCTTGTTTGCGCATCGGCGTGGAGGCTTCCGGCTCACACTGACGGTTCCAAGTCTACAGCCCACATTGATGGCCCCCTCTTTTTCGAGTGAGGGGAATTTTGCAGCGTGGAGTGGGCCGCTGGTCATGTTCAGTCGTCAGGAATGGAGCCTTCCGTGTTGGCAGCGGCATCTGAGTATCGCACAGTTCTTCGTTTCGGTCCCGGACCGTGTGCCGCGCGATGCGCTCCGCTTAGACCAAGTACGGGAAGCCGCCCCTGCCGGCACAGAGGAACTGACCGCCGTTGCGGTCGCCTGTCGCCGCCCGGGGCCCCAGCGTGCCTTCGCCCAGGCCGCCACCCGCCTCGTCTTCCCCGACGCTCTCTCTCTTCCCTGTCTTCGAAGGTGGAAGGCCTGGCTGCCTGAGGTGCCCCTTGCCCGCTGGGGGACATGGCCCATCGTTGGGCCTGGTCCAGGCTCAGCTGGGCTTGGGCACACGTCAATACTCTCGCAGGGGGATGGGCCACCACAGGTCATGTGCCTGTTTTGGGCCAGCGTCCCTGCCTATCAGCGTGCGAGGCCCGTCTCGGTCGGTGGCCTCATTACCTGGCCTCTCCTCCGCCTCCTCGCCAGTCCCAGGCTCTTCCTCCCGTCTTGCCCTCTGGCCCGGTTCGGCCCAGGTCTCGGTGCCGACTATGATTCGCAGGTCACCCCCGAGACCACTCATCACCTGGCCGTGCTGAGCTTTCACTTCTACCATAAGCCCCAGGCGGAGCACGAGGCCTTGCCCTCCCGCTGTGGCGACCTTGAGGCCCACCCGAGGCTCGTGCTTGCCACGAAGCTGGCCATCTGCGCCAGTCGGGGACGGAACTATGCCCTCGTGAGATACGTGCGCTTCTCCTCCGCCTCCTTCTCCTCCTTCCTCTCCTTCTCTTCCTCTTCCTCCTCCTCCTCCTCCTCCTCCTTCTCCTCCTCCTCCTCGTCACTCCTCCCTCTCCTTTTCTCTCTCGGCCCTCCCCTTGCCCCCAGGAGGGCACCTCGGCGTGCGGGCGGCACGTCGGGGTTCCCGGGGGAAGCGACGCCCCTGCAGACGTGGCCTGCGTGGGGCTGCGCGGCGGTCGGTGTGGTTCGGGGCCTGGGGGCCACGGGCGGTGACCCCCTGGCCTCTGGTCATGGGACTGTCGTCGTCGGCCCTCGGGGACCTGGCTGTGCCTGCCATGCTGGGTCGGCGCGGATCGGCTCTGTGGCTTGCGTTGGCCCGCATGGTACCCATCCTGGCGGAGGTGGGCCCTGTCCGCTGTCGCGGCCCACCCAATAGCCCTTCGGGCTCAAGGGTGCGTCTGGGGGGGGGGTCGGCGCTCCTGGTAGGGGGCTACGGCTCAAGGGCAAAGGCGGTTGGCCCCGTGCCTGCTGGGGCCTTGTACACCGCACGGTCGTCGAGGGGACACCACGGCCCCCGACCTTCACTGCAGGCGGGCGGCCCGGGGTGATACAAACCAAGTGTGATAACAAAAGCAGGCGTGATAGGACACGGTTGTTTGAATCACACATGTTCCGTGTTTCGGTTACAGTTTGTTGCCACAGTTTTTGTCACACGTGTTCGGAGCAGCGCTGCCGTGCCAGCGCAGCTCGCGTCGTGGTCCGAGCTCGTGTGGCGTGGGGCGCGGCGCCGCGCGGGCTTCGAGGGCGCGGGCGGGGCGCCGCGGCGGGGCCTGCGCTGCGCTGCTCGTGCTCTGCGGGGGCCTCGAGGGCTGGAGAGGGGGGGCTGCGGCCGTGGGCCGAGTGCTGCAGGACTGGCCCCTGCTGGTGCTTCTGCCTGCCCCTCACCAGTCCTCCTCCTCCTCCTCCTCCTCCTCCTCCTCCTTCTCCTCCT